ATTGCCTTGCATTGGGCTGATTTGTTTGTCTTCTTTTGAGTCTTGCATGATTGTCCCCACCCTCCCAAAAAAGGTGGAAACACCATTGCTTTTAGTGAGTATGATGTACAATAGATCAGCGAATGTAAGAGATGTGAGTGTGGCGTGTTGATTTCATAATGAGCTTGATCCCATAGGCCACAGAGGAAAATAAGTCCTATAAGATTTTCTCAGGCCTGATAGGTAATCTTTATTTCCTTTTCATTTTTAAATCCAACATGATTCTCTTTGTCCTCTTGCATTTATTATTCTTCATCAGTGGCCCCTTTTACCATCCATAGGGTTCCTTTTTATTCCTCTTACCCCGTTTAACATAATACAGAGACACTCTCTCTCTTTCAGTTTCGGTGCAACCCCAACCCCTAAAACCCTCTTTTGCCATTCTTACCTTAAAGGATTGCTCCCTAAACAAGAATTCATTTTTATTGCACGTAAGATTTCTTTCTGGGGGGACAATCAGTGATGTATACACTTACTGCTATTTTTTAGTCCACATTTACGGAGACTTAATTCTCTACTTTGAGAACTTCACCTGTTCTTTTGTAACGTTTAAAAAAGAAAACAGATCGTGTGTGATGACGTATTTTAAAAAGGTATTCTTTAAGTTGTCTTTACCTGTAATATCTAGGTTTCTACATTTAGTCAGTGGTTTTAAACTCACTAACTTTAGCAGTAGGAGCAAATTACCTTCTTTACTCGCTCACTCTACTCACCCCCCACCTTTAAAAATTTCACAAATAGAAATATTATTACAGATTATAGAAGGGGGCATTTTGGAATGTCTTTTCCCATGTTTCCTGGCAAACTTAAATGTCACTCTATTATGAAACCATTCCTGCCCTCCCAGGGCCAGTTAGATGTGCGGGTTCTGGGCCCCTGTCACCTTTTCACATCCCTCTTAGTCTGTTTCCTGTACACCGTCATTTGTCTGTTTACATATTATTTTGCCTTTAAAATACGAGTTTCTAAGAGCAGAATATTTAGTGTCTAACCAAAGTCATCTAGTTAAAAACAAGACAAGACCAACCCACATTCCACAACCCTAATGAGTCAGCTCCTAATATGTCCAGCTGTTGTCCAGTCTCTGGATATAGTTTGACCTTTTCTGTAAACATAGTGAAGATACAATTGTGTCTTCCACTTTTCTCATTTAACATTGTTATATTTTTCAGTTTTGCTTTATGATTCTCAGGTTTTTCATTCCTTTTAAAACTATCGGAATGCTTGTTTTTCTACAATCTGTTTGGATTGTTAATTATTTTAAATCATATTGAGAAACTATTCCAAAGTTAGGTCACCAGGAGAACAAGAATCATTATTAAATTTCAGTTATTTTTCTCAAAACTTTGGATATATGTTTAATTAATATGCCAGATTTCTAAAAGGACTAATGAAGTAATGCCATATTAAGTGTTTTATGAAGTGTCTGCTTTTACTAGTTAAAATGTTTAAAGGCTCTGGAGGGAAGTACAGAAAGTATTCTACTTAGTAAGTTAGCCCAGTGCTTTTTGTTTTTGGTAGCATCTTGAGTGACCTTGGAACTTTGTTTCTACAGCGTTAACACATTTACTGAGTGCCTACGATGTGCATCACTTTCCAAAATGAGTGTAATAATAGGACCTTTTCCTTTTCCTCACAGGACCAGAAGTCTAGCCGAGAAAATAGGCACGGATGTACTTGTAACTATACTACCATGAAAATGTTACAAAAGAGGTGTGAACAGAAAGTGATAGGATCATTACAGAAAGAGTGGACACATGAACAGATTTTACTTATTTTCATTCAATTCTGTAGGAATTTTCTGAGGCAGACGTCATCAGTTTTTTAGTGGATTGTGATATCGATGCGTACTAGTTAGTTTTTCTCCTTCCTCTCTCCCTCTCCCTCTCTTCCTCCTCTGCACCCCTGTGCCTCTCTCCTTGCCTTCATAGACATCCATTCACTGTATCCTCCTTGCCTGAGACAGTCGTGCGAATAGGCTGCACAGAGCCAATTGGATTCCCATCTCTAAAGCAGTCAGACCATTCCTTAGGAGCATAAGTATTGTGGCATTAAAATAATTGATGAATTACTGGACATGTTGTGATGCAGTTGATTCTCAGTTACCTGTTTCTTAGATACAATTTATAACTAAGTATTGATTTGTTTCTATGATTCTTAAAAGTTTGTCTGTTATTAGGTACACACTGCCTGCAAGGATTTGTATCATCCTGTCTGTCCACTTGGCCAATGTAAAGTGTCCATCATACCCCCAATTGCACTAAACAGCACCGACTCTGATGGTATGTAGCAGTACAGTGGTGTAAGTATGTATATTCCTAGTATATTAAATGTCGACATGTACGTTTATTTCCCTGAAATAAATAGAATTGTAACTGGTTGTTCTTGTCAGTGTTTATGTAATGATTTCATTTAAATTGCTGAACGGTACATGTAATTTTTAAAAGAACATTTTAAAATTAAAGTCTAACATAGCCTTTAACACACTAGTGAAATTTCTGTGCATAAGACTTTTAGATTTTACATTTCAGCAAATAAAATAAGATCATTATTCTGTACCAAAATGCAATCTGAAAGGGCTAATTTTTTATAAGTAGTTTTTTCCCTCTATAACTGAAACTGCCCATTAGCATAGATCTTATTTAGGAATCTGTTTTCCTATAGTTTCACTGCAGGAATTTATATTATTCTATGTTTATTCATTTTTTTGCAAACTTGTACAACTTAGTTCTAAGTGCTGAGGGACCTGTTTACAGCACTGGTTTTGGAAGAAATAACTTCCTTCTAAGCAAACCATATTATAAAAGGCTTTTACCATATGCTGTTAATGTTTTGCATTGATAATGTACCTTATGATTTTCAAACTTTTATATAAACTATGCCAATGGATCTCATAGATACAATGATAACCTCAAAAAATGTGATTTTTTTTTAAACTTGTGCTATTAAGAGCCCCCCCAGCCCAAAGCCCTGATATATTAAGGTTCTATTGTTTATTATAAATTTTAAAATATTTGCTCAGGCCTCATCAAGGAGCAGTTAAAATATTTTATAATACTGAACACGAATATAAGAATTCTT